CTCTTCAATATTGTACTTGAAGTTCTAGCTACAGCAATAAGACAACAAAAGGAGATAAAGGGGATACAAATAGGAAAAGAAGAAGCCAAACTTTCACTATTTGCAGATGATATGATAGTTTACATACGTGACCCAAAAAACTCCGCAAGGGAACTCCTAGAGCTGATAAACACCTTCAGCAATGTGGCAGGATACAAGGTAAACTCAAAAAAAATCAGTGGCCCTACTCTGTACAGATGATGAAGTGACTGAGAAAGAAATCAGAGAAATATCACCCTTTACAATAGCCATAAACAGCATCAAATATCTGGGGATAGTGTTAACCAAGGAAGTGAAAGACTTGTATATGAAGAACTTTGAGTCCTTAAAGAAAGAAATCAAAGAGGATACCAGAAAATGGAAAGATCTCCCATGCTCTTGGATTGGTAGGATCAACATAATAAAAATGGCAATCTTGCCAAAAGCAGTCTACAGATTCAATGCAATCCCTATCAAAATTCCATCACAATTCTTCAAGGACCTGGAAAGAACACTAATCAACTTTATATGGAAAAACAAAAGGCCCAGGATAGCCAAAACAACCCCATACAATAAAGGAACTTCAGGAGGCATCACCATACCTGACTTCAAGCTCTATTATAGAGCTATAGTCCTGAAAACAGCTTGGTATTGGCACAAAAATAGGCAGGTAGACCAATGGAACCGAATTGAAAACCCTGATTTTAACCCACACACCTATGAACACTTGATTTTTGACAAAGAAGCTAAAACTATACAATGGAAAAAAGAAAGCATCTTCAACAAATGGTGCTGGCATAACTGGGTACTGGTATGCAGAAGACTGCAGATAGATCCATGTTTATCGCCTTGTACAAAACTTAAGTCTAAATGGATCAAAGATCTCAACATAAATCCAGCCACACTGAACCTCTTAGAAGAGAAAGTGGGAAGTGTCCTTGAATGAATTGGTATAAGAGACAGCTTCCTGAACATAACACCAGTAGCACAGACACTGAGATCAACAATTAATAAATGGGACTTCCTGAAACTGAGAAGCTTCTGTAAGGCAAAGGACACAGTCAACAAGACTAACTGACAGCCCACAGAATGGGAAAAGATATTCACCAACCCCACATCTGACAGAGGGCTGATCTCCAATTTTAACAAAGAACTCAAGAAGCTAGTCTCCAAAATACCAAATAATCCAATTAAAAAGTGGGGCACAGAACTAAACAGAGAATTCTTAATAGAGGAGTCTAAAATGGCTAAGAGACACTTGAGAAAGTGCTCAACATCCTTTAGCCATCAGGGAAATGCAAATAAAAACAGCTCTGAGATACCAGCTGACTCCTGTCAGAATAGCTAAAATCAAAAACACCAATGACAGTTTATGCTGGAGAGGATGTGGAGAAAAGGGAACAATCCTCCACTGCTGGTGGGAGTGCCAACTTGTACGGCCACTTTGGAAATCAGTATGGAGATTCTTCAGGAAAATGGAAATCAGTCTACCACAAGATCCAGCAATTCCACTCTTAGGCATATACCCAAAAGATACACATTCATACAATAAGGATATCTGTTCAACTATGTTTATAGCAGCATTATATGTAATAGCCAGAACCTGGAAGCAACCTAGATGCACCTCAACTGAAGAGTGGATACAGAAAATGGATGGCACTAGAGGAAACCATCCTGAGTGAGGTAACCCAGCCACAAAAAGACAAACATGGTATGTACGCACTCATATATGGTTTTTAGACATGGAGCAGGGGATTACCAACCTACAATCCCGCTGCCAGAGAGTCTGCGAAACAGGGAGGACTCTAAGAGAGATATGCATGGTCCCCTGGAGAAGGGAAATGGGACAGGATCTCCTGAGCAGATTGGGAGCATGGGGAGAGGGAAGAGGGAGTAGGGAGAAAGAGACGGGGTGAAGAGGAGGGGAGAGGAGGACATGGGGAAGCAGGAAGGTTGAGTTGGGGAAGAATGAAGGAGAGCAGGATGAGAGATACCATAATAGAGGTTTAAGGAGAGATCTGGCACTAGTGAGATTTCCAGAAATCTACAATGATGACACCAACTAGCAATCTAAGCAATAGTGGAGAGACTATCTTAAATGCCCTTCCCTGATAATGAGACTGATGACTACCTTATATGCCATCCTAGAGCCTTCATCCAGTGACTGATGGAAGCAGAAGCAGACACCCACAGCTAAACACTGAACTGAACTCCTCGAACCCAGTTGCAGAGGGGGAGGAGTGATGAGCAAAGGGGTCAAGACTGGGGCTGATGAAACCCATAAAGACAGCTGACCTGAACAAGGAGGGAGTTCATGGACCCCAGACTGATGACTGAAAAGCCAGTATGGGACTGATACAGACCCCCTGAATGTGGGTGTCAGTGAGGAAGCCTCGGCAATCTATGGGGTCTCAGGTAGTAGATCAGTATTTATCCCCGGCATAGGAATGGACTTGGGGAGCCCACTCCACATTCAGGGATGCTCTTTAAGCCTCGACACTTGGGGGAGGGCCTAGGCCCTGCCCCGGATGATATGACAGCCTTTGGGTCTCACCCTCCCTGGGGAATGGAGGGGGGATGGGGTGGGAGCCTGGGGGACTTGGGGGGACAGGGGAGGAGGGGAAAGAGGGGGAGCTAGGATTGACATGTGAAGCAAGCTTGTTTCTAATTTAAATAAAAAAAGATCCGTCAATATTCATCTGTAAAGCAGTAACTTGTAAGTTTGTTTCACAAGCAGATCTACAAATGTTGGAGTCTTATGTCCAGCAAAAACAATCCTTCCGGAATTAAGATGAAGGCATAAAGGTTCAGTTTGGAAATGATTACTCTACAGACCGGTGACCCATTGCAGTGAATAATTCATTACATGTTTCAAAACAGTGTAGATTTTACATATTTTTACTACACAAAATAAAATATGGGATGTGAGTAACTTGTTATCTAACCTGATTTAATCAATGTGCATTACAAACACATATCAAAGCATCACATTTGGTCTCACATGGTGATGCTTGTCTATAATCTCAGCAGATCACACATTCAAGGCCAGCCTGGGCCTTATGATAAAACCCTGTCTCCAAAAAGCTGAAAAAACAATAAGCTTGATATTCTGTGTGATTTCAAAGCTAATAGGTAAGATCCTCTTCAAAAATAAAAAACCAACCAGGGGCTAGAGATACAGCTCAGTGAGAAACCATTTGCTCAACACCTGTAAGGCCCTTTCACTGAAAAACAAAACCAAAGAGGAAGGCAAGCAACCACAGATCCTCAGACCACGCCCTACCCTTTTTTTATTACATCAATTGGTCAACTGATACGGAACTATCCTTCTTGATTGCGGACAGGACATATACTGGACTGCATAAAATGGAAGGGTGAACAGAGCCCTGGTGTGCAGGCGTTCATTCTCTCTATTTCCTGATCATGGATGCTGTAGGACAAGCTGCTCCAACTGCCCATTGCTTCGATTTCCCTTCTATGATGGGCATCTTGAACTGTGAGCTAAAATAAGCTCTTTCCCCTTTATGTTGCTTTTGCCGAAGCACTCTGTCCCAGCAATAGGACAAAGAGCTAAGAAAAATATCTCAGGCTGGAGAGATGACTCAGAATTTAGGAGCACTGGCTGTTCTTCCAGAGGTCCTGAGTTCAATTCCCAGCAACCATAGGGTGGCTTAGAACCATCTAAACGAGATCTGGTGCCCTCTTCCTGGCCTGCAGGCATACATGCAGGCAGAACACTGTATAACTTAAATTAATAGCATAAATAAATCTTTTTTTAAAAGAAGAAAGAAAATATCTCAAGAGTTTACCAACAAAAATGACTAGTGGTCTCAAAAAGGCCACCATTAACACACATGTATGAAGTAAGGAAACCAGTACAGGACTTGTAGAGGCAAGCTAACAACACAGGAGAGAAAATTGCCAAAATGGATGAGAAATGAGCAACATGGATGGGAAAAGTCAGCAAAATGGAAGAGAAAAACCAATGAAAAACTCAAATTCTGTAAAAAATGAAAACGCTGGAAATGAAAATGCAATGACTGAAATAAAAGGTGTAACGGTCACCATCAGTGGTAGAGTTGACAAAGCAGAAGAGTGAACAGCAGGGATTACGTACAAGGCTAGGATCTATTACATTCAAATACAAATGAAGAAAAATAGTAAATAAATAAGCATAATGACAGCATCCAAAACTCTGGGACGCAGTCCAGAGATCAACATTAAGAACAGACTCCACAGGCTAAAGAAAGGAGCTGAGATGTTGATATAAATAGGAATAGAGAATCTACTAAATGAAATTTTAACAGAAATTCCTTATTCTCTGCATCTTGACCATTGTGGATTTCTGCGTTAATCACTATCTACTGAAAAAAAAAAAAAGCTTCCCTGATGGTAAGTCTTGAGGAGTTGGTTTAATGCTATGTCTATTTAGGTGAATAATAGTAATAGGTTCTTAGCCAGGCATTGGTGGTGCACACCTTTAATCCAAGCACTCAGGAGGCAGAGGCAGGTAGATCTCTGTGAGTTTGAGGCCAACGTGGTCTACAGAGCGAGTCCCAGGACAGCCTCCAAGACAATACAGAGAAACCCTGTCTCGAAGAACAAAAAAAAAAAAAAAAATAGTACTAGGTTCTTTCCTAGGACCTATGACCTCTAGCCATGGGTTCCAGGTATGGAGTTCAACTTGTGGAGCAGGCCTTCGGTTATTTCTATGTCATTCAGATCATGAAGAGCAGCCTTGACTGTCCTATCTGAAACAGGTGACAACTGTTCCCACCTCTTTGTATTGATGGAAAAAAAACAACACAAAACACAACGACATATCCCTTCCTGGTGTACAGTAGTCCCTCAAAAAGTACTGTAGTGTTTTTTAAATGCAAGTGGGGGTGGAAATGTGCCCTAGCATTCCAATGCAGAACCCAGAAAATATCTTCCCATGGAAACACTGTATTCTACCCAACTGTTACTGTCCTTAAGGTTCTATGGGTTTCACACATTAGCTTAGTCCTACTAGTTAAATGGCCTCTCCCGGCCTAACCTGACCAAACCAACCATCATGGAGGACATCGGTGCAAGGGGAAGATGTGAGTTCTAAACAAGTCACGTATAATGCGATTTTAGAATACAGCTCCCTCTTAAACTTGATGGTTTCTAGAACTTTGTGCTATAAGAGACAGCAGTAAATATGCCAAGTTGATACACAGTAGTGAAACCACCAGCCTCAATGAGCAAAATTCTCAGCAAAAAGGACAAGAGGGTCGAGACGCTTGGGCCAAGGGTGGGAGGAAAGGAATATAGGAGATGTAACATGCAGAACTGAGGTAGGGTGTTCGATGGGAGCTCATCGTGGACACCCTGGTATGCAGAGGTTGGGGAGCGGCCTTTGAAAGGGCTTTGAACCAAGGAAACACCAGGTCCTAAGAGAAATGCCAAAGGGGTGAATAAAATCAGAGGTTTATAGCCCGAGACATCTATGTCTACAGAATGGTTTTCATTGTGGCTTCAGCTGGATGTGGGGAGAAAGAATGCATTTGTGCTAATTTACAGAATTTTTGTTTTGTTTTGGAAACAGTGTTTCCCTGTGTAGCTTTGGAACCTGTCCTGGAACTCTCTCTATAGACTAAGCTGGCCTTGAACTCACAGAGATCTATCTGCCTCTGCCTCCTGAGTGCTGGGACTAAAGGCGTGAGCCACCATCAGAATTTCTTTCTTAACATTCCCTAAATGTGCTATTTGTTTTTCCGTTGCTCTTACAGAATACCCAAAACAATGAGTGAAGACAGATTTTGCCTCTGCTCATGGTTTCCAAGGTTTTAGGCCATAACCACTTGATTCAGTGCTCCTAGGCTAGTAGTGAGAGTAGCGTCATCCAGGAGAGTGTATGACAAAGGGGGTTCACCTCATTGCAGATTGGAGGTAGAGAGGAGGAGACAGGAATCCTCCAAGGATCCACCCCCAATCTCCTGCCTTCAGCCGGCTCAATCACCTAAAGATTTTAGTATCTCCCAAAGTAGCATTACCAACTGGGGACCAAGTCCTCAAGATGAGCCTTTGAGGGGGGAACAGGGCTTCACACCAAAATAGCAATGCAAAACAATCCAGTATAACAACTATTGCATAACGTGTACATTGTATCTGGGGTTATAAGTGATTTAGAAATAATTTAAGTATCTGCCATTTGCAAATACTTAGACCTCTGAGGATCTGGTTATCTGGGAGGAGTCTGAAACCAATTCCCTCGTAGGTACTGGGGGATAGCTGTCCATCTAGGATGCAAGTAGTAAAGGAGTAGCTGGACCTGAAACTTGACAATGCAATGGAATCCCAGGAAAAAATAGAAAGACTAAGTGTCCCAAAAAGAGAGAGCCCGGGCTTTTTCTGTGGACGTGTTCAGTGTGGATACTGAACAGCTTGGTTAACCAAGGCTAAGCGGAGAGGCTTTCATGAGACAACTGAGAAACTTCTAGGTGAATCTCGTGACTTTGGGGTGTGATGGTTTGAATGACAATGACCCCCCTATATGTGGTCCTCAGATGGTGGAACTGTTTGTGAAGGACTAGGAGGTGTGGCCTTGTTGGCAGAGGTGTGTCACAGGGGGCAAGCTCTTGAGGTTCCAAATGCCCAAACCATTCTCAGCTCCCTCTCTGCCTCATGATGTGATCTCTCAGCTACGGCTCCAGGCTCATGTCCGCCTGCCTATTTCCATGCTTCCTGCCATGATGCGCATGGACTCTAACCCTCTGAAACTGTTGCCCCAAATAAACTCTTTCTTTGATAAGTTGCCTTGGTCACGGTGTCTCATCACAGCAATAGAAAAGTAACTAAGGCACAATGTGAAGTTCACCATGAAGTCACCTTTCTAGGCTAACAATGAAGCAATGAGCAGGGAAGGGTGGGGAAGGGAAGGGACAACGCAGGACACACAGAGGCCAAGGGGACGAGAGATGGATTTCACAGAGCAGTCTCTGTACCCCGGAGTAGGGAGAGGATGAGACCCAGGTCCACCTGGACAGGGCTGGTCCCGTCTCAGCCTCACTGGCTTGGCACACCACATAGCCATAGCTGTGACCGCAGGTAAGCCCTAAAATATGTCACCAGAACCTGCCACGATGTTGAAACCCAGCTCAGGAACACAAAGTTTCCACGGCGTGGTCCTGGCTCCTCTCCACTAACTCCCGATGGTAGCATCAAGCCTTTCACTGTTCACGGTGGGCCCCACTCACTAAATGGCTGTCACTGTGAGGTGTTGTCACCGCACAGAGTGGATCCGGCCCCTGTCCTGCTCTCTGCAACTCGGAACCTAACTCTGGTTCTTCATCCAGGGAAGTTGGTTCTCCTGAGGCTCTCCTCTGCTGGAGCCTTGCCACAGGGAGCATTCAGTTCCTGTGTGGGCAAAGGTGCATGCTGAGGGGAGGCCTGAGGTGAGTCACGTCTCCTTGTTCTTCAGGCAAACCGGGTGAAAGCAGAGGCCTGGGCGGTGGACTCTGATGCACAGAAGGCCAATAAGTACTCAGAGATGCACCCCAAAACTACCACGGGACAGTATGTGCAAGGGTGAACAGACTCACCTTGAAGGACCTGCCAGAACTTCTGAAGGACGAGAGTGTGGAAGCGCACAGATTTGACTCCGTTCCATCTTGACTTAAGGTCAGAGAGGTCAAACCTATTCTTTTTCTTTTTTTTTTTTTTTTTTTTGGTTGGGGGGGAGGAGGGGTTTGGTTTTCTTGAGACAGGGCTTCTCTGTGTAGCTTTGAAGCCTGTCCTGAAACTCACTTTGCAGATCAGGCTGGCCTCAAACTCACAGAGATCTGCCCACCTCTGCCTCCTGAGTGCTGGGACTAAAGGCATGGGCCACCACCACCTGGCCTCAAACCTATTCTTGATCCTCGAGGCCAGATAACAGGATGTTTGGTGGAAGGCTTGATTACTAGATAGTTCACTCCTCTAGGCCAAATGGCAGTATGTTTAGCAAAGTGTGTGGTTATGGGATGCTTTGAGAATTTAGGAAGTAATCACACTTGTTTGTTCCTTATATCACGGTAAGGAAGTTTTTTGCCCTCCCCCCTTGCTTTGGATATAAAAGTGCTATGGAAAATAAAATTTGGAGCTGTTACAGTATTCACTGGAAGCCCTCCCGACTCTGTCTTCTGTCTCTTGTCTGTCTCTTTCCTCAGTCCTCATTCCCCCTTTCAGGCATGTTTGAACAGGCCGGTAGGTTCTGACAGGTCTCCCAGACGTTGTGGAGAGAAGGCACAGGCCCTACACAGAAAGAATGTCGATGTGGTGTGAGGATCTGTGCTTCCTCACCCTTTTTTCCTGTTTTTTGTTTTGTTTTTTCAGTACTGGGGCCTTACGGGTGTTGGGCAAATGCTTTCTCACCGAGCTGTATCACCACCAGCTTTGAAACCACACAGAAGCTCCAGCTAGTCTTGAACTTAGCCTCCTGAGTAACTGGGATTTCAGGCCTGTGCCAGGAGGCCCAGCTTCAGTTTTTATGGTTTTTCCATTGACAAATAATAATTGTATACATTGGTAGGATACAATGCAAAGATTTTTGTTTGTTTGTTTTAAGCTTTTTGAGACAAGGTCATATTATGTGGCCCAGGCTGGCCTTGAACTTGTGACCCTCCTGACTCTGTTCCTAAATGCTGGGATTATAGGCGACATGTATCATCATGTCAGACCAATGTGATGCTTTGATTTGAGTTTGTAATGCATATTAATTAAATCAGGCTAATTAACAAGTTACTCCTTAAAATCTACACCGTCACCTGCTTGGAAACATATAATGAATTATTCATTGCTGTGGGTCACCAGTCTGTACAGTAGCCAAGTGTTCCTTCCCCCAGCCTCTGTCTGACACCAGTCAACTCTAAGTCTGTGGGAAACAGGCTGAATAGCATTTCTTGTGCTGGCTTTGTTCACTTAACACGGTGCACACCAGGCTCCTCAGCGCTATCAGAGTTCACGAGATTCCTCTCCTTTTGAGACTCCATGCTGTACTCGCATCACAATTCCTCTGTCCATTCAGTTGCGGATGGACAGTTAACATGATTCATACATCCTGGCTACTGCGAAACGTGTGGGCAATAAGCATGAGTGCACAGCATGTCTTGTGTGAAGCTGGTCATAGGAAGGACCATCTTAATTGTCATTTTCACCCAAATTATCTACCAGTGGCACAGAGAGGTCCAACTGTTTGCCCTGGTTCATAGACAGAGCTGAGATATGAATGCAGACAGACTATCTTCTTTAGTTCCTCAACTCAAAGGCACAAGAGTCAATCTGGGCAACAGGCATTTTAGCACGTAGGTGTAATTCCAGAAGCGGAGGCAACAAGGTTGCAGTGAGTTCTGGGTTAGCCTGAGCTTCCCGACAAATCCCAGGCTAGCCAGGGCTCCACAGAAAGAGCAGTCTAAATACGGTAAGAATCAAGCCAGAGCTATAACTTGCTGGTGACATGCTTGCCTCATCTGCACAAGTCCCTGGAGTCAACATAATTCTGCAAACTCATGAGAGCAGAGCACAGCTTTGCAGGTGTGGCATGCCAGTATCATTTCCTTTTGTTTGGTTTTTTAATTACATCTATTTACTGTATGTGTGAGCTCGCGCATGACAGCAGCACCAGTGTAGAGGTCAAAGGATAACTCGGAGTTGGCTCTCTCCTTCCACTGTGTGGACGTCAGGGATCAAACTGAGCTCCTCAGGCTTGGTTACGAGGACCTTTAACCGCTGGGCCATCCCAGGCCCCATCATGGCTGTTTTGGAAGCTGCCTTACACCATTTCAAACGAAGCAGAGATAGAGCATTTTTGACGTGAGCCCCTCCTAAGGGAGGTTTCTCTCATTCTTTTAAACCTTCTACATTTTAGCACACACTTGACCTTACAATAATTTTGGGATCTCATATATCACCTACTGTTACTTCTCCCAGAGTAATAATGGTCACATGTCAACAGCAGTTGGTAGTTTCTGGAATACTAGCTTTGTACCCAACACCTGCTAAGTGCTTCCCACAAAAATACAAAACTAAAAAATAAAATAAATAAAATAAAACCTGCCATTTGGTCTTTCGTCTTCCTTTAGTATACCAGGAAACTGAGGCTAGTGTGGTTAAGGAAACTGTTCATAAGCTATTTAGGGAGCTACAGTGCTTGCTGTATAAGCATGAGAACTTCAGTTTGGAGGCCCAGAAAAAGCCAGGTGTGGTGGCACACATCTGTAACCCCAGTGCAGGGAACAGAAACAGGTAGATCTCTGGGGCTTTCTGGATAGCCATTGTAGCTGAAGAAGCAAGCCCCAGGTTCAGGGAGATGGAGGTGGGGAGGAGAGAGAGAGAGAGAGAGAGAGAGAGAGAGAGAGAGAGAGAGAGAGAGAGAGAGAGAGAGAGAGAGAGAGAGAGAGAAGAGTCCAAATAAGAAACGACAGGCCCAAGGCTCACATCTAGGATGATCGTCTCACTCCGTGGCCTGAAATTCCATAATCCTCCCCAACCTCACCTTCAGGTCTCTGTAACCTTGTCACTACCTAAGTCAATCATAAAACAATGTCAAGCAGACTCAAGGACGAAGGTGAATTACATCCCCTCTGCCTTACTGCTGATGTGCTGGTTACTCCATTCACAGAGTGTTGGAGGCCAGAGGCATTAAATAATTTGCCCACACTCAGACACCTAGCCAGAAACAAGTTGAAGGGTCAAGTTCCTCATTCCATCAACCCACACTTTACATTCTGGGTAGCAATGAGAAGCCACCCAAGAAATTTTGTACCTGCACCTGGCCTGTAATTCTCCAACTCATTCTGTATCTTGAGACCTTTGATCCCCGGTTATGGAACATGTAATTCAAATGTCCTTCATCGAAGCCGGGCGTTGGTGGCGCACGCCTTTAATCCCAGCACTCGGGAGGCAGAGGCAGGCGGAACTCTGTGAGTTCGAGACCAGCCTGGACTACCAAGCGATTTCCAGGACAGCCTCCAAAGCCACAGAGAAACCCTGTCTCGAAAAAACAAAACAAAACAAAAAAAAAAAAAAAAAAAAACAAATGTCCTTCATCAGCTCCTTAGGTTCTTGTTATTTGGCTTGTGCAGGCATTGAACTGGGTACCAGGCGTGGATGCTAGGCAGGTACTCTACCTATAGCCCCAGCCCTCCTCGTGGACTCTTTGGGAAGGCATGACTCTCATTATCCATGAGAGCCCAGGGTGGTTTTTTTGTTTGTTTGTTTGTTTGTTTGTTTGTTTTTGTTTTTTGCAGGGCACTCCCAAAAGTGTGAGGCTTCCGTACCAACAACTCCCCAAGACTGTAAAAGTCAGCCCACCCCTCCAGCACCCCACATCAGTGACCTGCTTTTGGTTTGCTGTCGATGGCTGCGATAAAGACACCATGACCAAAAGCAACCCGGGGAAGAAAGGGTTAATTTGTCTTTGCACTGAGAGCAGTAAAGGAATTGGAGGCAGGAACTGGAGCAGAGACCTGAGAAAGCAACAGAGGAACGCTGTCCCCCTTGGCCTGCTCAAGTGCCCTTTTGAAACAGCTGGTCACTTCCCCAGCTTGGCACGTGGCTTGTCCACATCGGTGCAGACCTGTAGGAAACAGAGACCCAAGGTCCAATTGCAGCAGCCAATTCCTGAATCCGCCTAAAGAGTCCTTAACCTCCCTCAAATAGCGCCACCTGCTGGAAAGAAAGATCCAAACGCATGTGTACCCGTGGGGACACCAGAGTCAAGCTGTAAGTCTCCCTGACATCCTTCGCCTAGTCAGAAACAGAAAGACTGACAGAAATGTCTCCACGAGAGCTTCAATCAAGTGTATAGTCCAAGAAGAAGCTATAGTGAAAGTCAAAGAACGTAAACGATTTAACTAATGTTAATAATAATGTAAAACGATCATAACACTACATGTTATAAAAGAATTCGCATCAGTCTCCACCACCGATAGGGGAGTGGCCCCCCTCGAGGAGCTACTGGCAGTTAACAGTTGCTGGGGCTGAGGGTGTTGTTTCTCCAGGGTTAAATTGCCCGTGTTAGTAGATGACCCCGTGGGCACGCTCACACAAGCAGCCCTAATTAAACTCGGCATAGCTAAAACGCCAGAAAGAGCTTATGTCAAACGCCTTCTATAACTCATTTAACTGAAAGCAATAAAATATTCTATCCGGTTCGAAGGAGAACTTCAAACACCAGGTATTTGTAGTCAGATAAGGAATGCCGAGATGGATTTGCAAACAGGAAAAACTGGAAATGCGGGCTGCTCTCTGCAGTTCAATGAAGGATTGCAGTCTGCAGGAACTGGTTCTCATTTCCGTGGGAGGCACTACCATAGCTCTCTACATACTAACTTGCATCTCTGTAGAACTGTGGTGTGGAATAATAAGATCATGCAAGGAGCAAGCCTCTGTAGATCCAGATGGTTTCCAAACTCTCAACAACCCACCGAAAGGATATCTTCAGTCTTCTACCTGATTCAAACCTTGCGGTATTTTTCTACTCTGGAATCAAGGGGCAGAGCTCATGAGCCCAGAAAAGAAGACAAAGTGTTAAAAAAGGAAGACACATCTAATAGTGACTGGAAAGATGGCAGGGTGTATGTGTTCTAAAGAACAGATTGCCTGGGCTCCCTCCAATGCCAGCTTTGCATATACAGGTCACC